AGTGGGTCTTGAACCCGGGACCTCTGAATCAAGTCTAGTCGCTCTCAACCGCTTACTTTTAAGTACTTGATTCAGAAGTCCCGGCTTCAAGGCTCACTTCGAACAGCCTGTTGTAGTGACAACGGTTTTCACTTGGAAATATAGATAGCAATATGTTTCCAAGTGAAAAGAGCCTTAGCCCGACATTGCTGCACCAATAAAAAGTCAGCCCTATTAGATAAATTCTAATAATAAAATCATCAAATATGGATCGATTAGCCCAACAGATTATAGGACGTAAGGTTCTGATAGCTGTTACGATACGAGAATAATAAATTTATACAAAAACATACAAACACACATCATACGAGCACCTATACATACACACGTACACACACCCAGATATAATTAGATAAATTGCTTGAACAGTATCATTTTTTGGTTCTGAAAATTATACCCAATAATATAATGTTTATAGCAGGTACATTTTTGTCAAAATGCATCGTGAGTTACTGGTAGGTTGTTTTTAAATCAATGCCGAGCGGTAAGGGTTAAACAATTCTTTATTTTTTAGTGTATTTTGATTTTGAGAAATAAAATAATAACCCAAACAAATAATAATATCATTATCTGATTTTAACCACTGCAACAAACTACAAATTAATCCATTAATATCGAATTTAAATGTAGGTACACAATGAGCGTTATAATGCTTAAACGTAATTGCCCGATCATCGATAAGAAAAAGACAATAGGTGATGTCATTTGGGGTAGAAAATGTCCGTAATAAGACAATGCCATAGTATTTACATAGAATTCGATTCTAAATAAACAAGAACAACAAGGCATAGTCGTATCGTAAAACATCTTGATGGGCGTGCCGAGACACACACCCCGTCGTGTTGTTATCTTATCGTCGATTCTTTGAATGGTTTTGTATCGGGACAACCCTTTTGTGTCTGCACATAAGAATCCACGGAATTAAAGAATTCGAATATGTATATAAGTGGTAACGGTTAAATAAATTTTGTTTCTTAAATTTATTATTTAAAGATTTACATACGAGTATATCTATAAAGGATGTTGTACATCTAAATTTCCTTAGTTGTGAGTTGTGTGATTGCTGATTGCAATCGGAATCGATTTATATTGTAAAAAAAATGTTCAAGGTGTTTTTAATATAACTTAATAAGTGGCGTAACTATGAAGTGGCAATGTTGGCAAAAAGGTACGGCTTCCGATTCAAGAGGGCTCCCGATCCAAAAGGGCCTAGGTCCAAAGCGCTCAAAAAAATGTAATTATATACTAATCTGCGCCAATTTTTTCGCATCGTTTAGTTAAGAATCTATTAAGACTAGTGGTGTTGTGCTAATATTTTTTTGCCGGAACGTAAATTATAAATTATAAAATTCACTTATCAAATCATTTTCTGTATGTAGCGATTTTTCAAAAATTTTTTTGCCGGAACGGCGTTCCGGCTCGACAACGCGACTGATAAAGACTAAACATTGACTTCTTCAATCGACATCGTTTATTTCACCTCATTGGGATTGAATTCACAGTTTTTTTTACAACTATTCTCGCCTAATAGAATAGCTTGTGTTCTCGCCTAATAAAAGTGTAAAACATATTACACCGTGTAATTAAGTATGCTGAAAACTCTCGAAATTTAGTAAAATTAAGCTAAAACCAACTTGGTGATTTTTACTGATAGGGCCCCATCAAATGATTTTACCGCGGGACCCAGATGATATAAGTTAAGCCACTGAATATAAAAGATATAATAAATTAAGCCATATGAAATTGTTATTTCTTAAGATAAAGATCAAAATATAACAAATTATTATTTTTTCTCTTTTAATCAATTGCTTAGAATATTGTAACTTATTGCCAAAAATATATTGATGTTTCAATCACTTCAATCTCGATATTAGGAGAAAATTTATAAGATGCTGATTACAATAAAAAAATCGAGATTTACATGGTTTTCCTTCGTCCCACTGTTCATAATTTACTAATAAATCTATTATAACAATTATCATATCATATCGTCTAAATAAATCGATTTCTTAGAATATTAAATCGAATTGCCTAAATATATGAATAAATGAAATAATTAATCTCTTCAATTACATCAGGTTGAAATTTTTATATAAATGCAAAAGTATTTTTATATAAATCAAAATTTAAACAATTACAACCTTCATAGACGCCGAGACGTTGAAATATCAGATGTCTGGCTTTTATACACGTTTGTTATTCATTTGGTTATAATGTGGTTTCAATTCTAATGATATTTTCATATACTAATAAAGTTCTATCAGATTTAAACCGTAATTCACAAATATGCATGATTGATTTGATTATGTACAATTAATTAATAAATAATTATGAACAATAAGTCCTACCTTTTATTCTATGATGAATTCTTGGCATAACATCACTTTTGCTTGGCACAACAACATTTATCACATCACAACAAAAGAAATTTTTTTTTCATACTTTCACATGATTAGAAGTCTCTGCTTAATTATAAAAATCAGATTACAGAATAAATTTTTTAAAAAATATTTCCATACGTGTAATTACAATCTCCCTGGTAAGATTTTCAGTAATTTTGGTGACAAATGGAAAATAAAATATCACTTTGATTATACATTCGGTGTTGAGTTCTCGAAGTGAACATATCGAATAATAATCAAAAATACATTTTGTTGGAAGTTACATAATCGAATCAGGGCCGAAACCAATAGACGGTCGGAAAAAATATGAAATCCGTTTGGGTAGTAAATTAATCTTATTGGAACTAACTTCTATCTTGCGATAGATTTTATCATAGATATAGTACAACGATAGAATTTATTCAATTCATCATTTCATTAAATTAAATTATGTATTTGTAATTCACAGCCTAAAATTTTTCCATCATAAACAAGTTTCGCATTATCAATGGACTTCGCACAAATAAAAGTCAAGGAATTTTAGCCAACAAGCCAAGTTGGTTACTGGTTAAATTATTTACCTTTACCAATCGGGCTAATATAGTGTTGCCATCTCGTAACCAAATAACATTAAGTTGGTTAATAGTTAAATTATTTACCTTTACCCATTGGATGATACGTTGTTGCCATCTGGCAATATATGAAATAGCCATATGAAAATAACATGCAGTTGGTCAACAGTTAAATTATTAACCTTGGCACTAATGATACAATAAATGCATAATACAAAAGTCTGAAAACATCCTCAGGGGTTGAAAAATTTAAGACCTAAAATGAACTATAAATTATTAAAATATCTATAATAATTCGTAATACTACTCACTTATAGACAATGAATGGTGTAAGAATATCTTGAATAAAATATTCTCGCACATAAAAAAATTATTAAATGAAATTAATAATAATTATGTAATCTCGCTTGCTTACGCCGAAATATACAATTTTATTTTTAATGATTGCGTATTGTTTAGAACTCTTTTTATACAACATAACTCTGAATAAAACTAATGCAGATTTTGAATGTTATTTGTACTGGTTATTTTTCTCATAAATTTTACACTTATATACATATAAATAATATCTTAATAAATTACATTGCCTATTTTATCCTATATGATTCATATAGGTAAGTACATTGACATGAACATATGTATGTTTATGAAATATATCACACATCTTAACAAGTAATCTTATTTTATATCAAATTCAAATGCAAAAATGCTATCGAACTACAATCATATGTAAGAATTTATGATTTACTTATGTACTTAGTTAAAAATTAATACAAAAATTTATCACACTAACATTGAATAGTACAGTATTTTGAATATGAATCTGAATTAATGAAATTATGAATTATGTTGAAATGTTGAAACCACCGAATCGTTTGTCATTAAAACAATTCAGTTTAGAAACCGGTATCATTTTCTATGATAAATAAGCTATAAAATTAGAGGATTTGCTAAAAAAAATATGTATTGTATTAAAATGAAATGTATAAATATCAAGTGAAAACGTGTTGACTGTTTTGTGATTTATAGAAAATGATGATTATATATTTAATTTACTGACTTTGAAATCAGATAAACTATACGATTATATAACTGATTTCCATTGAGCCAAGTAGCAGAACATGAGCATTAAAGTATACAAGTGCTTCAACGACAACAGGTTGCATTCATTTTAACCATATCGAAATATCTTAAATTTAATTTTATTAGGCCACAATTACAGTATAACTATTTATTACGATCCATTTAAAATGCACTGAATATGTGTATGAATTATTTTCATGATGAAACTCATAATAATAAACTTTTAGCTAATGGTTTCTTTATAATATGCCGTACAATAGAATGGCGAGTAAGAAATTTTGAATTTAATAATGTTTTCAAAAAATTGTAAGGACATCAAAATAATGACTTCATTCACAGTTAAAATAAACAAAGTAATTTTTTGAAATAAAATCGATAATAAATAATGCTAATACAACAAATGGCACGATGAATTGTATTTTGCGATCTTTGATTAATTAAAAATTATATAAACAAATCAGTTGTGATATTAAAATAGTTGAGAAGTTGTAATATTAATCTTGTAGTTCTTATAATATCTTATAATCTGCATTAAAGGCGTTGACCAAAATTGATATTTAGAAATTGGCATTTAGTTAATTTATTAGCGAATCGAGCATTTTGTAATTAGAACTTTTCACGGTAAATAAATTTAACAATATACAAATATTGGCATATTAATGATTATATTTGTTCGGTATGTAAGAAACAATTATATTATCATTATTGCACAAGGCAAAAATAGTTATAAGTTTATTGACATCGAAAACAGATAAAAAATAATAATCATAAATAATTCGGCAATAGTATTTTTTCATTTGTTGCACCAAGGTTGCAACATTATTCAGTAAAAAGTTTTTTTTTTGTTGCACCAAAGTTTAAATTAAATTGTTTATAACAATGTCTATTCGGAAAAACTACGATTTCAATTGCCTAGGTTGTCATTAGCCACAGTAAAAAAACACATCTTTAAATTAAAAATTGAATGAACAAATTACAATATTAAAAATTGAAATATATATGTATAAAACTGGATTTTTTCTACCTGATTCATATTACAATTGTCTCGAACTCATTTCGTATGCATTTTCTGATCAAACTTGCCAAAGTAGCAAATGATTAGTAGAATCTTCTCTGCCTGCGACTTCTGATGCACCAACGTTTCGGAAATCTTCATAACCATCGCCACCAGATATAACTAAACCACTGATACTCTGTCCATTACCTTGTTCACATTTGAATGGTCCGATAACTTTAGCTGTATTTCGAGCTGGTTGCCTTTCCGTCACTTCAGCACTCAAAGTGGCCATAGAATGTTCTACATAAGTTAGAAATCGTACGTGGCCTGTGTGTCCATGAGGCACTCCTAGAAATAAAATATTATACTAGTTGTAAGTAGCAGTTTGCCTTAAGGCAAGTTGCATGAACTTCCCAACATGTGTAATCGACTTAACCAACAAGAATTAGAATTAGCTATTAAGATGATGCTCAACGTTTTTTGAAACATACTTATAAAATCTGTAATTGTATAAATTAAGGGACTGATTCTGCCACATAACAAAAATATATTATGGCAAGGCCATGTTATGAAGAACTTTCCATATTAAATATTGACAAAAGCCATGTGGTTTATGTGCAGTCAGGCGTATTTCTCAGGTTGTTAGATAGAAAATCTAATTTAGAAACCCCACAAATGTCAAAAAAACGATCTTAGATAACAGGGTGTTTCTGACACAGCTTCATAACATACGAGTGACGTTGCAGTTTATGTGTAAAATGCCTAAATGCACAGCAAATACGTGACTTTTTAACAGCATGGAGTATGATTCCGCACACAGCAAATACATGACATTTTGACAGTATTTAGTATGATTCAGAAGCATAATGTATGGAAGTTAGAGCGTAAAATGGCCTTGCCATAACATCATTCTGTTATGCGGCAAAATCGGTCCCTAAATTTATTTATTTAGGTGCGAATATAAACACTAATCAGTAGATGTTTACGAAACACCACAGACCTTACAGACGCTTCAGCATAGATTCTGATTATAATCGCTGAAGCACGTGATTCAACTTCAAAATTATAATTTTCATTATAATTCAACCGCTTATTGTTTCCTCTTATATTTTAGTAAGTTATTTCGCACCACAAAATGGTATCGTTATACAAAGTTTCATCAAAATCTTCAAAAAAAGAAACGACTTTGCCGATTGTCGTTCGAACGGACAGAATTCCTTCCGTTTCTCTCGATTCTTTTCGAGATACATGGAATGGCTTTTAAATTTTTGAAATCGGTCCAGCCGTTTTTTGAGAAAACGTCGACGAAAGGTCAATTATCGGCTCAAGTACAGTTACACTTACACACACAGAATTCTCACATTTTTCCAAATTTGGTCTCATTTGATTCAGAATGACTTGAAACATCAAGAGAACATGCAATTAGCAAATTGGATTTTTTAGCAAAACTTAACCAAAAATTTATCCGACATTATTGGCTTGTTTCCCTCTTGATTAAAAACACTGAGAAATGTGATATAAAAATTAATTTTAATTGATTAATTAATTTAAAAATATTAGATTTAAATCGCAAATTCATGTCAAAGTTCAAACCTGAAACATTCGGCAAACTAGGTTGTTTTCCTGAAGCCAGCATTCCAATATGTGGCATTGGCATGGTCAATATTACTCCAGCACTTGTTCCTATCCATAATAAATCTTTGCAAGCTAACAGGGCTGTCACTCTGCAAATATAAAATATTGTCAACAAAATGCGTTTAAAATTTTGTTAAAAAATAATTTAGAACTCACCTTAAACACGCTGCTTTATGTTGTCGAATAATATCATCGCAAGCCGCTAACATCTTTGTAACACTTGGTGCAATGTTTACTTCCAGTACACATTCGTACGTATTTGCATGATAACATTTTAAAACTGCGGAATTTTGCAACGATATCCAAACCCCCGAATTTCCAGTGACCATATTTGTTATTGGCTTATTGATATCGGTGTTGACTTGAAACGTTTGTTCAACTTGTAATGATTCTGTATTGATAATTTTGATATGATTATGCGCCGAACACCATAATCGACTAGCGACTGGAAGCAACTTGGTCACGGGCGCCACATTTGAACCAACGCACACCGTCGTTGGATCGTTTGTATTCCAACCCGCTGAAAATAGATAATTAGAAAGATAAATAAGAAATATAAATATAAAAAAATAAAAAATAAAAAATAAAACGAAATATTTGTGATTATTCACTAATTCAATACAACCTATGGTAAGATGTCGTGTGAAGATTGTATAAATCAATGAAAATATTATATGAAATCAACTTCATAGCATTTCGCTTAGTTCAAAATCTTCGAATGAAATGTATTTCTACTTAATTCGCAGTGTATATCCAGATACCAAGAGCGTTTTCTGATTTTACACATGTTGATACTCCAATACATTTCTTTTATTATTTCGTCATTTTTTTTTATATATATATATATATATATATATATATATATATATATATATATTTGAACAGCGATCTGAACATATGGGTTCTATGAGCTGTTGTGATTAATATCTTACAAACTTATAGATGGCAACCCAAACAGTTGTCTCATCTCTATGAGCTGAATTTTTATTATTACAATTACTGTAATAGTGATGCATTTAATTAGTGCAACAATGCCGTATTAGGACTGTTTTCACCTGGAAACATATTGCTATCTATATTTCCAAGTAAAAATCGTTGTCACTGCTGCCTGACAACAGGCTACTCGAAGTGGGTATCAAACCCGGGACCCCTGATCCAGGTCCAGTCGTTCTAGCCACTTACCTACGAGCAAACCCAAAATTATCGTCAATAACAAGATTTTTTACAAAAGTCTTACAAAATGTCTTATTAGACAGTTATGTAACTCATATACGTATATATGATATTCCAAACAATTGTCATTTGATGAAATGCTATTCTACCCTAGAACGGTATCTACACGCCTCCGAGGCGTACATGCAGACAAGAATGAATGGTGATGGTACTTTTGTCATTGAAATTTTATAAAAATAAAAAGGCTATTTGTTACTAATCCATTTCCTGAAATAACCTTTGACGATATCACAGTATGATATGATGATGATGATATCAAAGTATACAATGACAAAAGACGGAAAAAATCATTTGTTAAGTTGTAAAATGCATTAATTAGGGCGCACGCCTAGGAAGCCTATAAATACCATTACCGCACTGAAAAGCACAACAACGTTCTAGGTTTAATAAATGTAATAGAGGTCGAAACAACAAATTAGTAAAAAATAATCACTCAAATTTACTCACTTTGATCTCTTGTGTAAACACTAATATCGCCATTTGCAAACGATACAAATACTTTGTTATCCAAATATCTGAAATAATAATAAATAAAAATTAAAAATGATAGATTTGAACAAAATGTACTCCAGTCATTTGGTAGTTTTGCCTGGAAAGTTTTCAGGAAATTTTGAAAATTAATAGTCTTGTAGATTTCGATGTGCGCTTTCGACTTGTAACGTTGGCGCCGCCATATTGAAAAAAATGGCGTCAAAAAACAGTTTTGTAATAATGATTCCTTTCCGGCTCATTCTACAATGGATGTATCAATGTACAAATTAACTAGAATTTTTTATGTATATCTTTTGCTAACAATTGTTTTTGTAAAATCTATAGTTTTAACGTACGAGCGCCTCAAAGACATATCGGACCTCCCTATATTTGACCGCTCTGAAACTTTCCAGGCAACAGCCTTTTTTTGCACCAAATGACTGGCCTAAAAGTGTTGAAATATATTAGATTATAATAATTTAAATTTAAAAAAGAAGAATGATTCAAAAATTGAATTCTTTCATATGATACTAAACTTTTAAGTACCAACTTACATGATACAATACACAGCTGATCCGTGTTGAATTTTAATCTTGTTTTTCTTCGTTCTTATATTATCTGTACAGTTATACACGTGTATGCATCCGTCCTCTGTTCCCAGCCACATTGTAGGCAACAAACCATCACCGCCACCTATAGATTCTTCAGAGACGATGATCGGTGATTTCCTAGGTTCCGGACTTGGCGGAGCACTTTGTTCGTGTTCCGGGACACCCTCCGATACATAATCTTCATCATCACTTGAACTATCACTATCTAGGTGAATATTACCAGAGAGCTTATCGGTGTCTTCAACCGATATACTAACATCCGTTTTGAGTTTGTCGTACTCGAGATCTTTGCTTGGTTGACTAGAAAATAAAGTTTTTGGTATGAGTTGAAAGTAAATATGGTTAAAAATTCAATTTGATGATTATAATAATAAATATTATTTTAAACTGCGCACATATCAAAAAACATACAATTAAATTTTTTTGTCTCTAACTTAAATTAAATATTAACCCTCGCAAAATACAGAAGCTCAGAATAGTAGTTATATATATTATTTCACTGGCGGCGTTTGAGGGTTGCACAATAAATTTTAAGACCACCAAGATTTATATATGTAATATGGTAAATAATATGTTCAATATATATTTTTTCAATATTTATAAAAAATACCTTGAAGCTGCGGGTACCGAAGCAACACATAAAATGCGGGCATTACAAACTCCATTGCAGCTTGCCACAGTCGGTTCAGGGTGAAGGCTTAAAACACATACCTAATACAATAATAAATCAATTAATTTGTTGATTATTATTAAATTTAAAATTATCCCAGTTATACAATCTACTCGCAAATATTTTGGTCATCTATTAATTAAACATAATAAATTAGAAATACAGGTTATTTATTTAAGAGTGAAATGCCATCCGATATGAAAAGCATTATGGTATAAAATAGAAGATAGGGTCTGGTGCTTCTAGGTAAACAGCTCCTCGACATGTTATCTACATATATATAAAAATAAGTCGGGCTTTTCTTCCTGACGATATAACTTCAGAACGCACAAACCGATTTCGACAATTTTGCATTCGTTGGAAAGGAAAATTGAAGAAAGATTTCACAAAAGCGGAAAACGCTTTTTATTTTTTCACATACAGCGTCATCTCTGATACCTAGCATGTACTACAAACTAATATTTTTTGTTTGACTGCACTCATTGTTCTCTGCTCAGTTAATTTCATGTGACAAACCGGCATTGTGTTCACTGTGAAATTGTGCAAAAGATGTGAAAAAATAAGTTATTTGTTTTCTAACATTTCAATTGGATAAAAAAAAATCACGTGTATTGTGCACATTTTTATTCAATTTCAACAGCAGGCAATTTTTTTCTTCATCTTTTAATCACTAAACGAAATGATACATAAAATAAAACCATCTGGTGGTGAAACGAAGTTCGCCCGGTTTGCTAGTGTTTCATATAAAATAGAAGATATCTATAAAAGTGATATTGTAAATTTCTGACCTGTCCCACGTATCCATCACTATTGCACACCCAAACGTCGTTTTCTCCATGTGGTCCCGAAGAGAATCCTAAAGTTGGTGCCGCACATGTAAATTGGAGTCCGGCTCGTGTTTTCCTTATAGGAACTGGTGTTACAAATTCTGGAGTCGGTCTCCTATCGGCTAATAGAGCTAGAAAAACGTAAAATAAATTAAACAATTGTGATAAATGGCATTTTGTAGATGAGAATTAAATAATATCATAGGGCCGCCTCAAATAATATTTGTTATTGACGACTGCGGCTTGCCAATGAATAAATTAAAAAATAAACGAAATTAAAATTATCGAACTCACAAAATAACAATAAAATTAAAATACGTATTTGTTTTGAATATTTTTAATAAAATCAAGAAATACCTAAAATATATATAATATGCAATATAATGTGATTGATTACTTACACAATTTTTGTTTCGCTTCGTTGAAAGCTTCTTCCCACCCTGATCGTTTCTCCGGTTTCGAAAATACGACCGATATATTCTCTATACCATTTCTATAAATATTCATAATAGTTACCATAATGTTGTCATAAAAACCAAAATAAAAAAAATATTTCTGTCTACTAACGGCATATTGATGGTCATCTCCAAGTAAGAAAGCTGGGTATCACCAGCTTGTCTGTCTGCTAATTGTCTCGATAATGATGCTTGCATTTCGCGAACAACATCATCCAAGGCTGAATGGGGACACCTGAGAGAACTTGCCAATTCGCCAATTCGTTGAATAGCTCTCAAATCCGAACTTAAGGACTCCATTTCGCGAATTGCACGTCTGACACTCTCATCTTTGACTGTAAAAGGATATGTATTAGAAGAAACATTTGTAAATTTGCTCATTATTGTTGAACATAAATTGTAAACCACTATATTGTGATTATAACTTAACCGATGCATTAATTTTATAGATTACATTTACTTCCTATAAATCTTTTTAATGATAAAACTTATTGCTATAAGCATTTATTGCTATCAGAATATTTAAAACAGATATATAGAACTTTCATGTTTATATTTGAAAAATGGATTTGAGTTCAAAAATACTTTAAGCAGATTCGGTCCTAACATGAATGAAACGCATGTGAAAAATGCGAGCGCACGCCTTAGGGGCGCCAAAATGAGATTTCGAAATGATGTTTATAATATAGTTTTTACAATATCATTCAAGATATACATAATTTCTTAGCATCTGGCGCTGAGGACCCTAGGACCGGCCCTGATTATAAGGATTTTGTGTTTGGTTAATTCGCTTAATATTTAAAAAATATTTTATCAACTACTTCTGTGGTCATTATGAGTAATATTAATAAAACATAATATGTATTATTAATATATAATTGCCGCAAACCTTTCATTATCTCTAAATCATCCAGCGGAATTTTCAGAAGTAATTTGTATTTATTTGCATCCAATGTACTCGCTATGCTCCCTGGACATGCGCTGAAAAAGATTATCAATATATTTATTTGTTACATAATTTCTATTACATTTTTTTTGATAATCATAATAAAAAATAGAATAAATATATAATTCTTCTTACGTGGTAGGTTTTCGTATCGTACCACTTCGCCTTTTAATGCTTGTAATAACCAATAAATCCGAAAATAAGAACAATGCACGTTCTTTTCTTGCTCCTTGTCCAGCGTGCATGCTTACTAAATCGTGCCTAAAAAAGTAATTATTAAAATTAATTATTAAATACCTAAAAATGTTGATTTGTCAATGAAATATTAAAATAAATAGATAATCAAAATTTGTAACAAAAATAATTTCTGACAAATACATATTATATCTATATATTTGCCTAAATCCTATTTTATAATTTTATTACCTTACGAAAATCATCATTAAAATACAGAATATTGTTATTTTTTAATTATTATGCTTAACATATTTATTTTTTAATTAAAAAAATAACTATGGGTTTCACAACCATCCGATTAATCCAACTTTTAATTGCGTGATATTTCACAATTAAAAGTTTTATAGATAAAATGATGTTTGGTTGATAAAATGAGGTTCAACTTTTAATTATCGTATTTGCAGAAAAAACGTTCCGGTTTTCCAATAATAAGTTGTGTGCAAAACCTCTTCAGATATAGTGAAATTTTATTCAATGGAAAATCGATCTCAGAGAAAGAATGAAGCGCTTTTATGCAACTTAATATCTTACATCATAATAATGATGTGCATATGATACAGCTCTTTATTAAGACAAGTTATACAGATGTCACGTTCTGTGTGAAATTAGAAAAATACGATATTGAATAAAATAATATTTTAGTATTAAATCTTCTTGTAATTGATTACGAAACAATAAAGATGCAACAGTTTTTGAATTACCTAATTTTATAGAAAACATAAAACTGAAGTTTCCAAAACTTCTCTCTGATAGAAGCTTATACATACATTATATGTATAAGTTATATTATGCATGTGCATATAATATAATATATGTGTGTTTGGATATATACCTAATATATGTTCTTTCCGGGGCTACCAAATTATCTAAACCTTCCACTAAATTTTCTATTTCTCTCAAAGTATTTTGCTGTTGTTCATACTCCAAAGTTTCTCTTTCAGTGCAGTTGATTTTCACTAATAAGTCATGAACTTGTCTTTGAGCTTCCAACAAGAGCTTATGATCCGGGTGCTCGGTGTCTGTGTGCTTTATCAATCTTTGAAGTAAAAGCTCGTACCTGTGAAATTATAATTTATATAATTTGTAATATATATATATATATATATATATATATATATATATAATTTATTACCTTGGAAATTTTTGCACAGGTTTTATGAGTAAGTTATCTAATGCAAGTTTCCCTTTATTTTCTCTCGCCATAGCTTCTAAAAATCTAGCAAAAGCTGGCCTCGCAGCAGATGTAGTTTTGATTGCTTCTTTTGCCTTTTTCCAATTGTTTATAAAACCCGTGTAAGTTTCCATCACAGATGGGTTACTAAACTGTATAACAAAAATATTAAAAAAATTGATAGATATTAATATTAAGGAGAAAATATATGTTGTCATTCGTAACAAAATATTGCCATAAATCAAATTTATTTTTATAGCTTTTTTTGTTAAAATTTTTATAATAAATATAGATTTTTTTCAAAAATGCACTAATTTTAAATATTATGTTCAACATAACTACATATTTTACTTTTTTTAAATGTCATTTATGTATGAGTAGCCATTCATATATTCAATGAAATGTATGTAAACGAATATTTACAATTCGAGATTTTGATTTATAGACACGTGTTCTCTTACTTCTGTTCAGATTATATTATGAAATAAGATCATACACCTCAGATAATATTACATAAATTATTGATTTCAACAGACTGTGTATCTGTTTTCAAAATTGAAACGAGCAAATGTCCTGGAACAAAATTTTGTTTTGTAAAAATTATATTTATCAATATTTTTATCTTTATTATTCCAAAACATCACGTCATACTTTTATTAACATTAATTCTATTTCATTTTTTTCCAAAATTTAAATCTTTGATAAATTTCATTCAGCGTTGTTTATTGTAATTCAAATTATATAATATTGCAAATTTGTCTTGATTTTAATAAGAATTTGCGTAAATACAACATATTTTTATTCGGACTATTTTATTAATTGATGAAGCTATGAGTAAAGTATATGCATAATCAAAATACAGATTTTAAATCATAATCTATCAATATAGAGTTAAAAACCATAAAAATAATTTATTGCACAGACAGTTGTAAAAATTTGATTTAATTCCCAAATTTAATTTTCCCATATACATTTTGAAGTCATGAAACTAAATGTTACTTTTACTTACGGCGTCCAGAAATACATCGCCAACTTTTTGCTTTGCATCCCAGACTTCTAATCTTTTCCGAAGTTCTTCTAAGAATTTTTCATGAACTGCTAGAATAGCAGGAACCATATAAAATATTTCATCAACTAGAGAAGAATCCACAAGTCCGGCGTGCTCCGGACTTTGCAGAGGATGAAGGTATTTCTGAAATAAAAAGAATACATTTTCATTCTTTATTATAGAAATATTTCATAAATAAAATAAATTATAAAAAATTGTATAATACATGATGATAAATTGTATCTCTGAAGAAAAAATTTCTATAAAAAAATAAAAAAAAAATCATAAAAAATTGTATAACAAATGATGTTAAATTGAATCTCTGAACGATCGATTACTTTTTTATTGACGAAATTTTGAAAATGATTTGTAGGTGATTTTGGATCGTATGATCTACGTATATTAATTTCAAACACGTTTTAAATCATATTGAAAAGATTATCATATGTGCACTATAAATTAATATAAAAATAAGAGATTAGGGCAAAAACCCAAAAGTACCTCGCTAAACGAGCAATATATTTCGCCGGATGAACGACATTTCCCAAAAACTAGGGGATGACCCAAATTACACGTATGTTATCAGACAATGTTTAACATCATTCCATTAGCATTTTCATAGACGCTTGTAATGACACATTTTTCACCTTATATTATGTCATATCAACGTGAATGAAATTTAATTAAATTATTTGCGTTCCTATAAATCAGACCTGCCAATTTCAATCTTGCCACAAACGAGGATAACATAATTAGGGGTTAACAACTTTTGTTGAATAAGCATTGTACATAGCATTTTATGAGTGTTTTTACAACATGAAACGTGATATAGAATTATCCAATATTTGGACAAATTATGTACTTTGCTTAACGATTCTCTATTTTACGATTCTGAAACAAATTGTGCTCATTTATACATTGTCGAAGTATTATCAATTATTATGAAAATTCACATTGTGAATTTTTGTTTCGTTATTAAGGCGTATAGATAATACTAGAACTATGGGACGTAGGCCTATCAGCTTCCTGCTTCAAAGAAAAAACTGATCACATGATCATACAATGTCTATTTTTGATTGTTCCAGACACATCGGCGCGTTGGTTCATTCTATGGATGTATTTACATTAGTAAAATTTTAAACATATTACACACAATTATAAATACCCATATAATACGTATATGCATATGTATCACACATATGAACTGTAACCATCAGATGTTACATCAATAAAAAATTGTTGATAATATAGGAGATAGGACACAGATTTTATTTAGTAAGAAAGATGATCAGTTGATTTATAATAATTCATGATTAATTAGAAAAAATGTTATTAAATAAAAATTAATTTCCAAGAAAATGATATAAATATAAAAAACTAGCAAACCCGGCAAACTCCGTTTCACCACCAGATCGTTTCATTTTATGTAACATTTTATTTGGTGATTAAAAAATGAAGAAAAACATTGTCTGCTGTTGAAATTGAATAAAAATTTGCACAATACGCGTTATTGATTTGATGGTTTCCAATTGAAATGTTAGGAACTTATTTTTTTACTTTTTTTTGCACAATTTCACAGTGAACACAATGCCGGTTTATCACATGAAATTAGAGCAGAGAACAATGAGTCGCTGTCAAACAAATGAGTAGCAGTGAAACAAAAAATATTACTTTGTAGTATATGCTAAGTATCAGAGATGACGCTGTATGTGAAAAATGAAAAAGTGTTTTCCGCTTTTCTGTTGAAATCTTTCATCAATTTTCTTTGGTATAAACCTCACGGAGTCCGAGGCCATTCCAACGAATGCAAAATCGAAATCGGTTCGTGCGTTCTGGAGTTATATCGTCAGGAAGGAAAACCCGACTTATTTTTATATATTAGATATTAGTAAGTCGTAAAATTATATTTTTGTATATTTTCAATAATACAAAG